TTTCTACTCCCAGTCCTGACTTCTACCCTGGGGCAGTGTTCCACTTCTGTGGTTTTTTTCCCAGGAGCTGGGTCACGCGCCCTGGGATCGTCTCCAAGAAACTCGGTGAGTGGCAATGATCAGAGTGGTTGCTGTTGGAAGTTCAGGCTAGGGTCCAGAACTCTTGTTGAGTCCCACATAGAGACGGGGATCTCCTTTCTTAGAAATGAGATATTTATTTAAGGTCACAGAGGTTGCAAAACTGACCCGGGTCACAGGATGGGGACTCGGGGGTGTGGGCTGTGAACTCAGTTGCCCACCCCTTACCCTGAACCCTGAACGCAGCGTGAATCATCTCTTGGGCCATGGAACTCTTCCTCCCTTTTGGTTGAATTTCAGACAGCGTTTCCCCCAAATCGCTGGGGGACTCAACTCTTGGCATGGATCATGAATCGCTCAGGCCCCACCTACCAAACCCCGTCACACACTCCAAATGGAAATAATCGCACCTTGCTGAGCAGGCAGGCATAGGGGCATCTGGAACTGGTTCTCTGGGACGGTCCTGCTTGCTGAGGACCTTTGGATGGTTCTCTTTAATCCATAATGCCTTCTCTTCAGGGAACCTGGGGAGCTACCCACCATGGACTTTCCAGCTACCTTGGGGCCTACGGTCTTCTCAGAAGTGATCTGCTGCTTGAAGCCTTAACCAGATCACTCAGGCAGCACAGACTGGGGCAGTGACAAAAAACAATCCACACTGGGAGGTGGGGGTGTGGTGTGGAATAGTATACGGGTTAAGACCGTCACTTGCTCATGGCGACTGGGTTCAAACCCAAGAACCACATACGGTTCCCTGAGTACTGCCAGGAGTGATTCCTTGAGTGCAGAACCAGGACTAAATCCTGAGCATCACCAGATGTGAACCCTCAAACAAAAATAAAACAAAAAATACCACCCCCCCAAAAAAAATCCACAGGTGGAATTTTCAGACTTTCTTTTTTAGATCTAGCCATAAGGTGATTCTCATTTTCAGCAGTAACAAAACTTTTTCTATGTTTAAGAAACATTGAAGCATCTTGATTTCAGCGTTCAATAAGATATGATGCAGGTGATCGGCAGAGCAGGTGTCCTTTGATACCTGTCATAAGGCCCAAGTAATTTCCTCATGATTCATATCCCAGTTTTGTGAGAGGAGCAAAGGAGTGTCCCCACTCCCTGGTCACGGGCTCACATGGTTGATGAGAACCACACAGGACACTCAGACGGGGAGTCCAGACTCAGACTGATTTTCTGCTTGTGAAGAAACATGCCCCAAGGCATCCAGAAGATGAATAAAGGAGCTGGGATCATAGGCCCTCCTACCTTCCAGGCACTGTTGTAAATTCTTTACAAGTATTAACTCAATTCACTGTCCAGACCCTGTTATTTTGCCCCTTTTACCCAGAGGGGTGATGTTCCCCTGCTCAGTTACACAGGTGGGATTGGCAACTTTTCTCGGCCTGACTGCAGCATGTTCTCCCCAGTGAGGACATCCCCCAAAACATGGGGCAGGGCACTGGAGTGATGACACAGCAGGTAGGGCATTTGCCTTGCACACGGCCAACCCAGGTTTGATTCCCAGCATCCCATATTCCCCTGAGTACCGTCAGGAGCAATTCCTGAGTGCAGAGTCAGGAGTGACCACTGTGCATCGCCGGGTGTGACCCAAAATATAGCCAAAAAAAAAAAAAGCACAGGACAGTACCTCGAATTCCCAGAGTTGGCCGTCTGCTCCCCCTAGCAGCCCTGTGACCTTTTGGGCCTCTTTTCCATGACATCAAATAAAAACAAAACTGGTCCATCTCAAAGGGTGCTTCCAGCCTGGACCTGTAGTGAGCAGGATTGAGTGTCCCACAGTACCTGCCATGCCGGCGTGGCATGGCCTAGAGTGATGCCAGCTGTGGCATCATTCATTCATGCCTTTATTTCCCAGCCGGGCCTCCTTGGGATGGCCTTAGACTTATGTGGTTGATGAGAGCAACACAGACTCTACAGTCAGGGAAAGCAGACCCAGATCCTTTTTCTGGAAAGGCAAAACATCACAACGACATGCAACTCAGCCCCTGTACGGTGACTATCTCCCTGGCTCCTGTACTGAACTATGTTCTGAACTGGTTCCTGGACTAAGACAGATCTGTATTCTCCCAGATGTTGTTCAGTGGGAGTGTCCATGGGGAGGGGGGGCGACCACCAGTTGCAGATGATCACCATTCCCCCTTGCACTAGATTTAAATTTTGTCTCCCATTTTTTTGTTGTTGTTGTCTTGGGGCCACACCTGGTGGTGCTCAGGAGTCACTCCTTGGGGTGCTTGGGGCACTGCGCAGTGACAGAGCCCAGGCCTCCTGCGTGCAAACTATGCACTCCTACTATAATTCCCACTGTCTCCCTGCCCTCTCTCCCATCTTTAACTTCTGATCTGGAGTAATGACCCCAACCACTGAGCCTTTCTGCAGGTGCTTGCTGGCATTCAAAGGCACTCCGTCTCGGAGAAAAGCCTTGTGAAGAGAATGACTATTGTAGCCAGTGTTTGGAGTCCAGGCTGGGAGCCAGGGCCCAATTTCATTGAGTCTCATATAGAAATCCAGTCTTTTTTTTTTTAAGTGGGAAAATGAAGACAGTGGGAGGAGGCTCCTATCCAGGTTACAGTGTCGGGAGGTGCCAAGTAGGCTGCCGACCAGCACGGTCTAATGCCAAAACCATGCCCCTGGCACTGAGTAGATTCTGAAATCCCTCTTACACAGGGCACCTGCATGCCAGCATTGTTCTGGCTCGTCAGCCAAGTGACTACTCTTCCCTTTGATTGAACATCAAATAGCAATCACCTTAACAATACCCTGGGGAGCTAACTGTTGGCATTACGTACAAGCCCTTTGGCCGTACTCCTGCCTCATAATTGCCACCACACCCTCCAAACAGCAGATTTTGACCATCACCCGCCCAGAGAGATGTGGAGTGGTGCCTCGCGAATCAATTCTCCCATCCCCTCTTGCTAAGAGGCAGCCTGACAACCTTGTCAAATCCAGACTCACTCTGCATTTTTCAAGTAACCCCAAGCTGCGTTTTGACAGAGGGCCAATTCCTGCCACGCTTGGAAGGAACTTCCAAATTCAGAGCCAAGTCTCTCAGGCATAGGGGTGTTGGCTCAAAGACCCAGGGTAAGCCTGGTGCTGGGTCCTAGGTGCGCCCCCCCCCCCCCCCCATCAGGCACTGAAATCAGTGAGCAGATCCACATTCTGGGACTCTGGGACTGGATGAACACACACGAGACCTTTTTAGGTCTCAAGTTTTCATTTTTGGTCTCCATGTATTGGCTGATTATTTATTTTTAAAATTTGATTTCTTTAGGGTTTATCATACCATTCATAATGGGTTTCTCATGCATATTATATTATTATTATAATTGAAACCACGGATTCATTCTCGTTCTGTCATTTTCATCGGAACTAACTAACATGATTTGCCATGGTTAGGTCTGAGATGACCAGGATGGAAACAGCTACTGGGTGCTGGGAGGCAGGTGGCTAAGTCTGCAGGGCCAGTCTTGGAAGCAGGAGGCTGAGAGTTTGCCCCAGCGCCCAGTGCTACCCCGGGTGCCCAGCACAATCCTGGCAGCTCTACTCTTCGTGTCTGGCGGCTGTGCAGTTTGTGAACCCAGTTGCCTCAAGAGATTTCCAAATGCACCACCACAGGTATGCGTGAACAAAGAAACCCACGGCCTCCTTGAAAACAAGAAAACAAAACCAAAGGGTACAGTGCATCCTGGAGTGCGCCCCCTGGCGGGCACAGCCAAGCACCACTACCAAGTAGATGGGGAGAATTGTGGGTGGGGAAGAGTTGGGAAGTGTGTGTGGCGGGCGAGAGGGAGGGGCGGGGCGGGGGGGGGTGTTGGATCGGGATTGGTCAGTTATTTGGAGCCTTTTTTATTCAGTGCCCGTGAGACCCCTGGTGATATTGGGCCAGGCAACTCAGTGCCCAGCCTGGTGACAGGCTCTGCTCAGTTCCTGTGATGTTCATGGCCTCCAGGGTGACACACAAGCGATGCTCTGGCAGCCGTGTGGCTCCAGGGGCCAGTGTGCAAAGTCCCCAACCCCAGTTATGTACGACCCCAGTCCAGGGATTATTTTTAAAAATTAAATTTAGCCACAGAGGCAGGATGGGACGGGGGGGGGATGCTGGGACCCATGGGGATGGATGACGGGCACTGGTGGAGGGATGGGCACTTGATCATTGTATAACTGAAACCCAAGCACAAAATTTGTAAGCCTATAACTGTACCTCATGGTTTTTCACTAATAAAAAAAGAATAAATAAATAAAAATTAAATTTAAAAAAAATTTTGTTTTGCAGTTGTAAGAATTGAACCCAGAGCCTCTTGCACGCGAGGCAGCATGTTAGAGTTGAGTAACACCCCCTGGCCCTTGGATTACTTTTATAAAGTAGAATTTCAAGCAGGTCATGCAGCAAATTGATTTTTACTCCCTTTAGTAATTTGGGAGGTGAGGGCGCACACCTGGGTTTCCTCTGGCTCTCATGAAGTACACCTGGTGATGGTCGGGGACTATGTGGGATGCTGGGGATTGAACCTGGGTCAGTTGCGGGCAAGGCCAATGCCCTCCCCGCTGTCTGGCCTCTTTTAGTAATCTGAAAGTTAAAATCTAGAGAAGAGTCAAAGCTGGGCAGGGAATCTATAAGAATGAAAATTCTGGGCGGACATGTTTCTATGCTATCCGCTGCCTCCCAGGAGAAAGGAAACCTTTCTCCCCTGGCACCCTCACTGAGAAGAATTTTTCTTTGACCAGTTTCAGCCCTGAGAGGAAGCTAACCTGCCGCGAGGTCATGAGTTTGAGAAGGGATGCTCTTGGTACCCAGAACCTAGGCTGCGTTTCCAGCACCATCCCCCGCCTCCCCCCTCCCCCCCCCCAGCCGCCTGCAGACAGGAACTGCGTTATTTTTACAGGATGTGAAGCACAACAGAGCCAGATCAAATGAAGAGGTCTTTTTATTTTTTTTCTTTTACATATTCCAAGGGTTGAAGCCGCAGATCAGGGTTATTTTTTAAAAAAATGCAAAAAAAAGAAAGAGAAGCAGGTTTATGCCAGTTGCTCTATTTACACCTGGAAGCAGCCTCTTCGGGATCACTCACAGCAGCTGCACTTGTCGGCGGCGCCTTTGCACACACAGCCCTGGGCACACTTGGCACAGCCCGCGGGGCAGCAGGAGCAGCAGCCTGGGGAAGGGCAGGAGAGGGCAGGGTGAGATTCGGGAGAATGAGTGACGCCTCCCCCTCACCCCCCCCCCCCCCCCAGGCTCTGCCAGGGTCACAGTAGACAGAGCTCCGAGGGAAGGGAGAGATGGCCAGGTCTAAATTCCCAGGGCTGGGCACGGAGTGGGGTGGGCGCGGCGGGCGGAGAAGGGGCGGCGGGCATCGGAAGGGCTAACCCTCACTTACTCTTTTTGCACGAGCTGCATTTGCACTCCTTGCACTTGCAGGCGCTGGCGCAGGCGCAGGATCCACCTGCAAGGAGAAAGGCAGAGAAGCGTGAGCGCTCTCCTCCGGACGCGGGACGGTCGCCGGGATGCTCCGGACACTGTGGGGACCTGGGATTTAGCTGGAGGCAGGTTCCCCGGACCCTTTGGGTGGGGGCACCCCGCAGTGCAGCGACGGGGGAGAGAGAAAGCGGTGGCAAGAGAGCTTTGGGGTCCGCAGCCCCTTACCGGTGGCGGTGCAGGAGCAGTCGCGGTCCATAGCGAGTCAGTCGGGCAGAGGCGAAGTGCGGCCAGCGCCAGGCGCGCGCTTCTTTATAGCCGGGAGCGTCGGGGCCGGGCGCAAAGGCACGCCCAGCCGGGCGCCCCCGCACACGCCCCAGCCTAGACCCCGCGCCCCGGGGCACCTGGCGAGCTGCCAGGCTCCGGGGCGGGAGGGGAGGAGGGAGGGCACCGGGCCGTGCGCCCCAGTCCCTGGTGCTTGGTTGTGCGCAGTGCTCCGACCAGAGCCGGGTGTGCGCAGGGTTCGGGGCCGCTGGCCAGCGCCGGGAAACAGCTGTTGAAGTGAGGAAACGCTTTCAAAAGACACGCGGGACACGTCAGGACTTACCCGTGGTGCCGCATCCTGTTAAGCCCCAGGGTGGTGGTTGGGGGCCTAAGGCGATGCATACAACGCTGTGGAATGTGGTGGGGACGGGGAGCGCTCGTCTTCCCGTTTATCTTTTGTTCATTTTCTGTTTTGTTCATTCATCCGGTGCCCAGTGACCGTACAAACGTGAGGCACGAGCTCTACCGCCCCATTATTGCTGTTTTTATGGGGAAAGGGACGCCCGGACCGGCAAGGAGCTTGCTCCAAGTCACAGAGTTAAGTGGTGCGACCTGGTTGGCAGAATCGGGGTCCATGGTTCTTCATCGGGGTCCAAAAGCAGATCCGGCACACCTGCAATGCGCGGACACCCCTAGAGGGGGCTGGGGCTGGGGGCTAAGGATCAAGAAGCCACAGCTAGGGGCTGGAGAGACAGTACAGTGTGTAGGGCTCTTGCCAACCCGCGTTTGATTGCCCAGCACCCCATATGGTCCTGTGCCTACTAGGAGTGATCCCTGAGTGCAGAGCCTGGACTAAGCCCAGAACAGGTGGAGAGACTTTTTTTTTTTTGGTGCCAGGTGTGACCCCCAAACAAACATACAAACAAATAAACAAATAAGGAACCACCCTGTGTGTGCACAGGACAGTCCTGGGGCAATCCTGGGACTGTGCCAGGAAATGTGGTGGGAGGGTCAAGGCTAGGATGAGGGGGTGGGGAGGGAACAGTGGGGGAGAGGGCAGTGTGCCTGGGAGGACCCTGGCCACCCCCTTGGGTGGTTGCTTTCAGGCCTGCAGAAGCAGCATCCAATTAGAAGGTCGGCACCTCGGGAAGCCTTTGAAAGGGAAAGTGGCCAGAACTTTATTTCTCAGCCTTGCTGAGGGGAGGGGGGGGGGGCACCACATTCCTCTCTGGAGAGCCACATCCTGTCTGCCCCGCAGCCAGCCTTTGGCCACTGTGCAATGCCACAAACCATCATCCCGGGAATACCCAGATTGTGTCACTGCAAGGAGTGGGGGAGAGGGTTACCGGAAGTTTCCTGGCTGGCGTGTAGAACACAGGTTGCTACAGCAGGGAGCTGAATGGAGGACGGGACAGGCTGTCCTGGAAGGTGGGTGTTTACCGTAAAGTCTGGGAAATACCTTCCTAGCACCAAACACCACTTCCTCTGGGGAGCCCATCGGGAACCCCATGCTCGGCCAGGGTTGCGCATGGAACACTCTGTTCTTTTCTTTCCTGATGATTTCCAGATTTGGAATGTGAACAAACTCATGTGATTCTAGGATCAAGATCTGAGTCCCCTACCCTTTCCACCTGCCACCGAACACTCCAGGAGCAGTCAGAGAGCCAACCCCCCCCCCCCCACACACACACCACCAATGTGTCTCTCCTGTCTCTGAACAAAACCAGGTTTGCAGTCAGCACTCGATAAACATTTATCAGGTGGGTCAGGGGAATAACATTGCCTGTGGGAGCCCCGGGCTCAATCCCTGGCACTGCGTTGTCTAGAGAGTATCACCAGAAGTCACCCACCTAGCACCATGCCTGGAATAGTACCGCCCCAGCACACCCAGGGGTGGCCCCCAAATTAAATCAGTCTTTGTCAAATGAATGGGGGTGACTGAATGAACCAGGTGAGTCCCATCAAGACTTCTGCCTTTCCCAGCCTCTCCTCTCCTCCCACATTAAGAACAAGTACAGGGGCTGAAGCTTTGGTACAGTGGGTAGGACACTTGCCTGTATGCAGCCAACCCAAGTTCAATCCCTAGCTTCCCATATGGTCCCCCCAAACACTACCAGGAGTAATTCCTGAGTGGAGAGCTGGGAATAATGCCCCAGCACTGCTGAGTGTGGCCTCCAAACAAAAAATAGCACTGTAGCACTGTCATCCCATTCCTCATTGATTTGCTGGAGCGGGCACCAGTAACGTCTCCATTGTGAGACTTGTTGTTACTGTGTTTGGCATATCGAATACGCCACGGGGAGCTTGCCAGGCTTTGCCGTGTGGGCGGAATACTCTCGGTAGCTTGCTGGGCTCTCCGAGAGGGGTGGAGAAATCAAACCTGGGTCGGCTGCATGCAAGGCAAACGCTCTACCCACTGTGCTATCGCTCCAACCCCCAAACAAAAAAAAAATAGATAAATGAATTTTAAAAAATTTTAAAGAAAAATACAAAATTCAAGGTCTTTTTGGTTTGATTTGGGGAGCCACTCTCAGTGGTTTTCAGGGTGCTCTGAACTCAAGGGTCACTTCTGGCAGGGTGCATTGGGACCGTCTGTGGTGCCAGGAATCAAATCCAAGTCGGCCACATGCCAGGTAAGTACCTTCCCCACTGTACTGTCTCTCTGGCCTGACAAAATTCAGGTTGAACAACTTTTCCGACACCCAGAGATCTGTGTTCTCCCTCAAATATGATGCCAAGCAGGGGCCCAAGAGACAACTCAGAGGGCTGGAGTCCGGGATTTGATCCCTGGCCCTGCTGATCCTCTGAGCACTGAGTTAGGAGTAACACCCAAGCCCTGCCCCTCTTAAACTAAAACAATACCAACAAAATTCCAAGCATGGGGAGGGATTCGAGCTGCCAGGAGACTTCGCTTCCAGTAGTGGCCTCTCAGCCACGCTTTTGCCCACAGGGCCTTGTGGCCTTCCTGTGCCAGGGACGCTCTGAGGCTCAGTTTACTTATCTGTCAAATGACCAAATTCTACTAGAAGTCAAAGGTCGGAGGTGTTTGGGGTCACACCAGTGCTAAGGCCTGACTCCTTCTTTCTGCTTAGGGGATCCCTCCTGGCAGTGCTCACTGGACCTTCTGTGATTGCGGGAATCAACTAGAGTTGCTGCATGCAAGGCCAGGTCCTGGACCCCCGAACTATCTCTCTGCCCCCAAACAGTGTTGAGCTTGGAGACCTTACTGTGATGAGAGCCTGGGGGACCCCCTCTTGGGCCGTGAACAGACTTGGCTGGTCTTGTTACATGAAGACAGGAAGTGTGCAGAGCTCCCAATTTCAAATGCATGGGTAGTCATGGGGGTTGCTTTCACCCCGAAAAGCACTGAATCCAGAGCCAGCGTTGGCTATGTACACTAGCAGTGCCTCTTGCTCTGGGCCCAAAGGGTCTCTCTGCCGTTGTTCTGACTCCAACAGGGAGGGTTAACCAATTACTAAAGGTGAAGGGGGCCAAACCTTAGTCTTTCTTTCTCTTCTCTGTACCTCTGAATAGGCATAGAGAGGGAAGGGAAGACTTTCTCATACTGCATTCCTCACAGGGTGGAATGAAGAAATGGTTGGAGTGAAGAAAAACCACACTTCCTGGAAGGGCGTCATCAGTCTAAAGTAATGACATGGCACTTGCCTGCATTACTAGAGGTATGTCGTTCAGAGTGAGGGAGGTGAATTTTCACCCTTTTTTTTAAGTGCTGAGGTGGCTGGTCAGAATTCTGCTCCCCAGTCATCCTTCATCCTTGGTTTCCTCTGCAAGCCAGTTTTCCCCAGCCTTAGTCCATATATCTGAGAGGGACAGGTCCCATCTGGGGGCACCCAGCCCTTCGCACCCGCTTGGCCACCTGGGTTGTCTCTGGGTAGGACACCCAGCCATGAATTCTAGAAAAATGAAACCTTTTGCTGGGACATCCAGGAGAAGGACTGACACCCTTTCCTTGTAGACTTGAACTTAAGAGGATATGAAGCTTAGTCCCTAAAGCTTTTTATTTCTGTGAGAAAAACCTGAAAAAGAAGTCATTATGCAGAAAGTCGAGCAGAATGACATGCTGGGAGTGGCTGGCTGGAGCTGACGCTGTGTAAGCCACTCATTTGGTTGTCTGCCATTTTGTCCCTCAGATTCTATTTTTTGTTTTGTTTGGGGGCCACACTCAGCGATGCTCAAGGGTTACCCCCGGCCTCTGCACTCAGGAATTACTCCTGGTGGTGCATCGGGGATCATATGAGATGCTGGGGATCGAACTTGCATCGGCCGCGTGCAAGGCAAACACCCTACCTGCTGTGCCCTACCTGCTGTGCTCCAGGCCTGGTCTGTGGATTCTGGACAGACCCACCATCACCCCCAGACTCCCCCGAGAGCTGTGTTCATTACCAGGCTGCAACTAACCATCACAGTGAGTGGACTTAAGACACAAACCCCCAGGATGTGTTTGAGACTGGGAACGAAACTCAGTCAGTGTTAGTTAGCTTCACTAACTCACTAATTAGTCTAGTTAGTGAAACTAGAAGCTCTCTAGTTTCACCTAGCCTTGACTTTGTTCCTGGCTCACGGAAGAAACAAAAAAAGAAAGAAAGAAAAAAGAAGGTGTTGTTGTGTTAACAACAGCTGAGGGAACAGGCAGGGTCAGGGGGAGAAACTTTCAAATGTGTGCTCACCCCTTGCCCTGTTATCTCTAGCTTTGCAATAAACGACCCAATTTTTCCCCGTTATCTCTAGCTTTGCAACAAATGACCCAATCTTTCCCCGTTATCTCTTGCTTTGCAATAAATGACCCGAACTTTCGCAGCTAACACAACCACCCTTGTATGATCTCTCCTGGCTTTGTGGCCCAGGGATCCCAGCAGGGTTCAGGTGAGTGATTGTTTGGTTTCCTGTGTCACCGACTGAGGTCACTGAGTGGCATTCAGCTGAATGGGCTGATGATGGAAGAGCAGGTGAGCTCACCCGGATGTGGCACAGGGGAAAGCTGAGTCCAAATCTGACCTGCCGCTTCAGCA